GCAATTTTTTTTCTCTATTCCTATTCGATTTAATCTATTTGCAATTATTGAAAAAAATAAATAAATCAAAACTTAACCATAAATACGTTACAAGTTACGTTTTGGAATTAAAAATTAGCATTAATATTTTTTAAATGGCATTTACCTAACCTATTACCTATCTATAGTTTTTTGATAAAACCCAGTAAATCAATTAATGTAGATGAGTATAACATATGATGTTATTTATCATATATTATGATGTGTGTACTTTTCTCTCAACAAACACTTTTTTTTGGAAAGCAAAAATGGTTCAATGTATACTATTCAGTTGTGTACCCTTTTATGTCGTACCCTTTAAAAGATGCGAAATTTCTACTCGGCGGTATTTTTTCCGAAACATTTATCGAAACGTTCGAAAGTACACTCCCTATAGGTTTTTTCTTTTTTTTCTTTTATCGAAAAATACTAATTTTTCGGTCATTGAGAATTACGAGCTAAAATACGGACAAATAAAAAAAAAAAATGCCAATAAATTTCGGTTTTAATATATTACGTATGTTGATTTGTCGGTTTCCTTGGACGGGGCAAAAAATCACGACTAATAATTTACCGCTCAGAATCGGTTTTTCGTCTATAAATAGGTTTTTTTTTGTTCTATAACATCATAATATGATATAGTTACTATTTGAAACAACAAAAAAAAGATAACGATCGTTCTTTAAAAACCTTGTTTAATGTAATTTGACTCTAATTCGGAATGCCCGCGGCGGTATAAACGCGTACGGTAAAAGTATGTATATTATTTAATTATCGCGGACGTAAATTTTTCCCCGTTTTTCCGTATAATATTACGTTTCGAACTGGTCGCCGTCGCCGTGTCATTAGGTACATTTTTTTTTCGTCCTAAAAATCACGCTCGTCTCTGATTATATGCACAACATCGCGCACCGTGTCCGCGCGAATACCGAAACGCGAAACGGAAATTTATGCAAACGCAATAATAACGGGGAGGGGAAAAAAGAGGGGAATTATTATTGTATAGCGATGCAAATTGTTCCAATTAATTATTATTACGTGTATATATATATATATATATATTATATTATATCTTGAGAACGTAGCTAACGAAACGTCTTTTTTTTCTCTCTCCCCTTTACCCCTCCTCCCACTCTCGCGTCGTCCTTTACGTTTATATTTCGTCGCCTTTTTTTTTTTTTTTTATTCTTTCCTGAGACGACGACTTTCGTAACGAATATATAATAATAATACGGGGTGTACGGGACAGTACACCGCGAAGACGTTAAATTTCGAAAACAATGACGTTAATTCGCGCGCCCCGGTATATACCGACCGTCGCCGCCTCGCCGTATTTCTGCGGCCCGCCGTTTTATCACTGTTTTAACAGCTTTTCGCCGGAATCGTACGCGGGGCCGGTAACCGGGCCGCCACCGCCGTTACCACTTACCGCACAGTCGCGACTGGTATATAATACCCCGTCACGTATAATATCGTATCGTTGTTATTATTGTTATTATTACTGTAGCCCTCTCGTTTTCGGCGGAAATATCAAAAACGGTTTTGCGGACGTCGTCGTTGCGTCGCGTCGGAAAGTCGACCGGATTACATCGCGCACACATTGCGAATATTATAATATAACGTCGAGAGCTTTCGCCGTATACGAGCCACCCCGATGGAGGGGGAGGGGTGACGAGGGGAAGGTGACGAGTTTAAATACAGTATAGAAGTGCGTATGACGAACGGAAGAGACGATTGCGGCGCGCGGTGTCGTGCACGCGGGTTTTTCGCCGGCGTACAATAGTAACGATCATTGGCGTTATCGCGGGGGGACGATGTAGGTGATACCCCCTCTCCAACATGTATAGAACCCAGATTATTTTTTCGCAATATCTTGTTACACCCAATATGAAATGCAAAACGTCAAGCGTGAAACACGTATAGACTTCTAGACATCTAGGCGGAACATTCAGTATGAAAACGCATTTCGGTGAGTGGGGAGCTTCACTTCGAGGACACAAACACGTGAGATAATAAACGGAGTGTTTTGATTAGCTGTCCTTGGGGTAACAAATTTGTTTCCTTTCGCATTAGCTTTATACCGACTTTTACATCTCTTGATCTATTCGGACCAACTACGCCTCCCAGTCCTCGGGGTAAATATTCCGTCTAGACGATTAAGTCTATGGAAACATGCCACATTATCGATATTTATTTTTCAATGTTTATTGTTAATCGAATTGTGTGGTAAAATGTACATAATAGTATTTTGATTAAATTACTTTTTCTTGACATTTTGTATAAATACTCATATCACCATCGCCCTAAATTAATGTCATAGTTACGCTACTGGTATTAATTACCTTATACACGATTTCAAATCATCGATAGGTAAATATTTCGCTTGCCCTATTACCTAGCCTCTTCCATAGGCGTGTAAAAAAGCTAAAAAAAAAAAACAACACACTACATCCGCAACAACATGGTTAAATTCGACTCGACTTGTATCACTTCAATTCGTCAACAAAACAACTCTGATTCCCGAGTTTGAACCGATTCGGTTCAAAGGGAGCCACTGGAAATGTCAAAAAGCACCGAAATATACCGGACTCAGTACACTACAATAATTTTTATTTTCGATGAAAATTGGATAAGAACTACATCCAAACGACGCGTAATAGCCGGCGTGGAATAATTTATTACAGATTTACGCTGTTGAGTTTATTTTTTATATTTTTTATATCATCGAAAGAATATTCCCCATTTTCGTTGCACATTTTAATACAATAATATTATAATAATTAGTTTAACGCGATCCTGGGCTGTTATAATATTAGGCTTATCTGGATAACCGATATAATAACAGACGACTATCGTCCAAACTAATTACAAAACAAGATACGTATTTTGACGGATATTCGATTGGCTATCGATCCGATTAATTCATGATTCGTCCCTCTGAAATTAAATAACACTGAGTAGTATTAAATCATTATAATATAATTTATATAGGTTAAATTCTTATCCCCTCGAATTGCAGTGTACGCTTTATATTTTCAAAAACTTTTTCCACCGTCTGCTTATTAATATTATTATAATAATAATATCGTTCGCGGTTTTACACCTTTATTGAATTCGTAAGCGTATAGTCGACGGTGTAGTCAACAGCGGACGGATGGATTGTATGTAAATATTGCAGCTTTTCAAAACAAGACGTATAACCTAACTCCGCTTAGAATCGTTTTCCGTTAAAGATGGTTAATCGTTGCGCAAAGATCTACATTAAATTGTTCCTCAATCTTTTCAGATTCTCACCTACAACAGAGGTCCGCTCATTGTGCGAACTGTGTTTGTTTGTATTTATTTTTCATTTCATCACCAAGGTAAAAATCCATATAAAAAACAATTTTCGTAAGTACCGTAAGTACCAATAATCCCGTGTCAGCCACCCGTTTGTAGCTTATATGTTATTCCTGATTAAGAACTATTTGTGTTTACGAAAAGTTTCAGCTCGATCCGTTCGGTAGTTTTGGCGTCGAGGAGTAACAAACATCCGCGTTCATAACATAAATATAGGATTATTATTATTTAGTAGTCGTTTTATTTTTTTTTTTTTTTTTTTTTTTTTAATAATACAAAAATGTGATAAATATAATATTTCCGAGAGACCGGTGAATCGTTTTTTTTAAAAAATAATACAATAATAACTATTGTTTCGATCGCGGTTTTTATAATATACATTTACGTACGACGGCGTATTTGTCGAGATTATAAACGACAAAGAATCTCCGCGTTAGAAACATTAAGTATATCGTTTAAAATGTAATATAATGATATCCTGAAATATTTTAGATTATTAAAATATCGGACATAATAAACAGAAGTGTCCTTATGAAAAACGATTTCGTTTTAATATTAACATCGTTTATATGCCAAATATTTTCTATAATATGTACGCATATTTCCATAAAACGGTTATATTATCATCATACAATAACGTACTTTATGCGACGTTGTAATATTGTATTACTATAGAAAACACACAATAAAACAAACGTCGTCAGCGATTCGAAATAATATAATTTTAGGTATTTGAATTTTTTATCGTCTACGCTTCTACAGCAATAATTATACAACAATAATATCTAAATAATATTATAACGTACCTACGTATATACTTGTTGTATTTTTTTATTTTTTTTTTTTTAATTTGTATTTGTTCCTCGTCCGGCGTTTTTTTTATAGACAATTTTTAGACAATTATAACATAACGCACTTAAATTCGAATTGTTAAAGTGCGCAATAATAATAGGTACGCACTTTAAGTTTGATACGTAAATATCGTTTCAATGTTCGCGCATTCAATTACTCGCGGAACGAGTTGCACGATCTATACTGCATATAAGTGGATGATATCATGCGCGCATCGTAATTGTCTCGAGTACCAGTAAATTATGCAGCTGCATTCATATATTTTTTCAATAATAATATTGTCGATAACATAACGCGAAGACTTTCATTTGGTTTTTTTTTTTGGATTTAGAGTGTACAAATTTGCACTCGTAGTTTTTATTTTTTTATTAGCTAATTTTCTAATTTTTTTACGCAGTATCGCGAAAAATACCGGATTTCTACCCGGCCGATACTTTTTATTTTGAAACATTTATCGAAATTTACAGCAGTTCATCCCTAGGTATTTTTTTTAAAATTTTCATTATCGTTTTATATTAGTCATTTCAGGAGTTTTCCGGTCGGGACACGATTAATGCTACTAAAACCATTCTGTTGAGAATCGTTTAATTTGTTTGTAATGATTTTATTTTTTCAATTAGTTCTATTGTATTTTTTTTCATAAAAATAATTTTAAATGTGTTAAAATCTACGTAGCATAAATATTATTTTGTTACGATTTTTTGCCGGTCTAACGAGACGGCATTTTTAACGACAGTAAATACCGGTTATATTTTCATTGGCCATTATAATTAATCTATAGTATCAACAAATCGAAAATTAATGAAAAGAAAAGATGTTTGTACCTGTAATATTTATTTATTTTTGTCGGCACTCGATAAATAGCGTTTAAAATATATAGTTTACAAATTTGAACTTAGGGGTTTTTCATTTTAAATTTCGTCGTATGCTCGTATACAGAGTGTGATTGATTTATCACGAACTGGCAATTTTAAGTGACCGCGGAATTTTTAACTGTATATGGAATTATTTTAGATTAATTTTATTCGCACACTATTTTCGATTTTTCAGCCTACTCCTTATACCTTAAATTAGTATACACTTTTAGTTTTCAAGTATGAACTACCCTACCCTCTTTTAAACACAGTTTCGAAAACAAAATATTTGTATAACACTAATGTCGGGTTTACAGTTTATGAGTTAATACAACAGTTCAAAGTTTAGACCGGAGGAGAAAGGAATTTGTTTTCAATACATCGTCTGAATATTGATGTGAAGTTTATTAGCTCTACCTTACGCTTCATGTCTAAATAATTTATAAATAGTAAATTCGGTGTTAACGTTACATAAATATCCTGTTCTCGTATTAGAATATATTTTTAAAAGTCTGTGTTTGGAATGATCGAATTTATTTGAAAATAAAAAGTGTATAGTTGTTTAAGGTACAAGAAGTAGGGATGAACATTGAACATAGGTGTTAAAACTAATGCTTAAACGATTCCGTAATGGTTGGAAAAAAAACTTCAGAGTAGGAAAAAAGTTGAATTTGCTTAAAACCCTCAGTGAATGTTATTGATTCAGTGGCGTGAACAGGAATTTTCAATGCGATGGGATACATAGGTACTAAGTAGTAAATAATTAAACCACATAGGACTATTCTAAATCGCAGAAACGTCTTCTAGGTCTATCTCGACATTGGAAGTTTAAAAGTTGAATTAAAAAAAACCAACGTTTATCAAATAAACACTCAGTCGGGGTATTTCTAAGCCAATGGGGAGGGAACCATAACCCATAGCTGCCCGCCTCCTGCGCACTCCGCCGTGTCTGTTCATAGGATAAATGGATCATTCTGTAGTACGATATCGAAATGTATCTATAGTAACGTGAACAAAATCTTTTTAAATATACTATGTTATCCGAATATAAATAATACTACAAACGTTAACATCCGCGGTAATTATTATTCTAGTACGGTTACCACGACGGCTAAGTAAGACCCTCTAAAAACAATTTTAATATTCCTATGATAGGGTGTACTGAAAATTTAAATTATAATAATGTTGTGTTTTTAACCGTGTTTATTTGTTTACCGCGAGACCGACGACGACGGCGTCGCCGCGATTAACATTATTTACATAAAAATAATATATGTATAATGTATAATGTATATATATATATATGTATACAGTATTTTATATTATTAAAAATCGCGCAGATCGGAATATAAAATATTGTAGCGTTTCTGGTTTTTAAACGCGATGTCGTAAACATATAAAAAATATCATTAAAGTATTATAATATCGACCGCCGGAACGCGGACTCGAACAAACTGTACAAAGCTAGACCCTGTAGCATTCGGGATTTTTATTTTTATATTATTTTTTCACGAAAAATATACAAAATGAGCTGCGCTTAATACACGGAGCGCTGATAGGACGCTATAACAAAGCGCATTTTCGATTATCCAGCTAAATAAAATTCGACCCGTACGAAGACGACGTTTACGCGTTTGAATGGACCGTGAGCGACGTAAAGGACTGATTTCGGAGGAGGACCGAGAGTATCGAGGACGCGGAATTCTACGTAAAATAAAACAAACCAAATATGTACACAGTTAACAGCCGAATAAACGAAAACGAATCATATAATACGAAATACACAAACGCGTTTAAGAAGAAGAGACATATTGTTATCGAAAATTAAGACCGTCGTACTATCTGATAGTGTAATATACGAGAGTTACGAATGCGCGCGGGCACGGCGAACAACGCGAGATATATAAATATCAAAATACACATTAAATTATTCACGCGCGCGCAGCGTCTCGAAATGCGCTGCGGTTATTTAGTTGCAAAAAAAAAAAAAACGTTTCGAAATTTCCGACGGTTCTCCCTCGTTTTCGTGACATCGCAATACCGACGTTCAATGTATTTTTCCAAAAGTCCGCGAGGGGCGGTCTCGACACGAATGTCTCACGAATATTCGATCCATACTTTGCCCGCAGGTTTAAGTTGATTTCTGTACCGCGATGCGTAATGCGGTCGACACTTTCCGGAACCAAGGCGGCGGACTGACGGCGGCGTTTAGACGCGAATCCCAGACCCCTGTAGTGCCGCGGCCGCATCAAGCCGTGAGGCGCGTGTTTGTCTATAGCCCGTCGCGTAAAGCCGCCTAAACGACACGTCTATAATCACGGCCAACGCTATTTAGCCGCACAATTATTATCGAATATCTTACGCGTACGCGATTTTAATTTTAAAATTCAAAACTATTACGTCAGCTGGACAATCGATTTTGACGTTGCGCTCAGTGTCGCGTACAATAAAACGGCCCCGGCCATCGCCGAGTCCTGGGCACGCGCCTAGAGCCGGCGCCTGTTGTACACGTTAATCGGCCGGGCCCGCCTAGAGCCGAAAAACCGAACGTTGCCAACGGCGTTTTAAATGGCCGCCCCGGGTCCGATTAGCGGTCTTTCACGCGATACCGGCTGTATGCGATTTCCGCGTTTCAGATCGCGGCCGCAACGTTCGCGACGTCGTACAACAGCGCACCCCGCATCGCAATACACCCGCCGGCCCGCACGTTCGGGCGTACCGTCTCGGCCGCTCCCCGGTGCCGCGCCCGGGAACGATTACGCGATTACGCGGATCACGGCAGCGCGTATGGACCGCGGACCTGAAGCGATTCGGCTCTCGCGTTTCGCGTACAAACGGTCGGCCCTGGACAACCGCTTAAAGCGTTCCGTTTATCTGCGTTTCGAGAATCACACGCGCGACTCGTATCATAACACTGTGCACGCGGAACATGCCCGCGTGCGCGGCAGTCTGTGTGCGCGTAGGTATCACTCTTTCGGCCTCTCCATACGCCGCCGCCGTCGAACCTTTTGTTTGCTCGTTTAAATATTCACCGTTTAAAACCTTTGCCGCGCCGTCGCCTCACCCGCGCGTTCGTTAAAAGCTCATCACCGGGGCCTGGAGATCTCGCCGCCTCGCCGCCCCGCCGCCGCCGTCGTATACGTCACTCTATAAATCCATTACCGCGCAAAACTGTACACAGTTTGTCACTTTCAACGGCCAAACGCACTCGTATACGTGTATATAAATATATACGCATATTGCCGCGATCTTAATGGCCACTTATACTTCACGGTCGACTTTTGGTTAATCAATCGAATATTCTAGTGAGTACGCGGCGCGCCGGAGTTCGCCCCGCGCCAAAAGCAATCGTATCGGTCAGACCGTTTTCGGCAAATCCGTCCGAGACCGTTTTATATTTATATAATAGAATATATTATGATATCGGTACTCTGCGTTGATGAGCGGTATAATCGATACCCAGGCTACGGTTTTTATACGGTTTTTATAGTATTCGTCCATAATATAATGAGGTTTTTCATTTTTTTTTTTTTTAATATCAACTATTATCCGATTTTCCGTAACCGACATTTCGTAAACTTGTTATTTTTGACGAAAAAACTGGTCGAGTTAAGTTGGAATCGCGCACTGAGGATTGTGCACAACGAAAAAAAATAAAAAGTGTCTACGATAACTTCGGAATCAGTGATTTCGCATCAGACCTTAAATACAGAAAAAAAAAAACCATCTATAATTAATAATATCTTAACCAAGTTCCTCGTCAATTTGTAATTTGATTAAACTAATGTTTATCAAATACTTAATAAAATATTAATTTAAATTTAATTTCAAAAGGTTTTTTACATTTTCGAGAAACTTTGTCGAGGCATTTTTTAAATATGTTACTCCCACCCCAAAATATTAAGTATTTTCTAATTTGTATTATTAAAAAAGGTCGATATTAGGTGGATGAGTGGAGCGACGAGAGATGATAGGATGAGGAATGAAGTTTTGAAAGAAAACTTAGACGTGGATTCCATAGTGGACAAAATGAGAGAAAATAGACTAATGTGGTTTGGGCATGCCATGAAGAGAGAAGAATCAGAAGCAGTAAAAATTGTAATGAAAATAAACGTGTACGGAAAGAAGTGAAGTGGAAGAACGAAAAAGGGGTGGTTCGATACGATTGAGAAAGATATGCGGGCGGTGGGTGTATGCGAGGATGATGTGAGAGATCGGGTCGTATGGAAGTTCAAGACGAGGGTGCTCGGCCCCCAAATAGTTAGGATGGAGGCAAAGGAGAATGAGGAGAAGGAAATAAAAAAAAAATATTACCTATATTATTTATTTACAGCGATACAAAGATAATATTTGTTCAATCACGTCGATTACTTTACTGTAGAAATAACTGATAAGCTGTAATAGGCTGTTTGATATTATTATCTTGTATTTTTTTTTTTAGAACTCATAAAAAAGACTCCCCTCGAAACATATACGGTACCTTTTATTTTATCAACGATCTAGAATAAGCTTTTGATTTATTTTGTACATTTTTGCAATTGGTGTGTAAACAATTTTATTAGAGCTATAGCCACCCCCACAGAAAATCATTGCGTTTATGATGGTCGATATGAGTAACTATAGGTGAGTTTTAAGCCAATGATTAATTTTTTAGAAGATAAAAGCAGAACGACAAATAAATTGTCACAATAAGATTCTTTTGAGGCCCTGCGGTACGGAATCCTAGGAAACGTAAATTTGTATACATTGTGCCGGGCTTACATTAGAATAGAACTCCTTGGTTGAGTTACTAAAGCAAGTTGCTAAATTGTTTTCGCTTGTGACATGTGGACATACTATTTAGTAATAATTTCTGTGCGCCAGCGTTAATTTGCCCGATTTTAGTAAAGGTTTTAGTCGAGCGACTAGAGAACGGTTTTATTTTCTACGAACGTACGAAAAGGAATCCACGGAACGCAGAGATCTGAAACGGCGAATATAGTTGGACGTTGTTTATACCTAACCTAACCATTGCATCATACTACAGGTACTTTTACGGTTACCCTTATCGACTTTTATATTTTTCCGTTAAAATTATTGTTAACTCGGTCATCTGGTTTTATTATTTGCCTATGTTTACCCCATTTTTGAAAAAAAAAAAAAAAAAAACAGAACTCTGTATTACGATAATATATTAATGATGATGTAATTGGTGTATATATAAATATAGCAGCATCCGACGCGATCACGCGACTCGTATCGATGTGAAATATTATTAAGATGGTAAAGTGCATCCGGAGGCTTGTATAATGTTTCCCCCCCCCGTTCTTTTTTTGACAATAATTATTATTGTTATTACTACTATCGTGATAATATACGCCACCGGTCGATTCCGAAAACAGGGCATATACAGGCGGAGAGTGTTATATACATAATGGGCGG